TAATATTGGTGAAACCGAGATTTAGGGAATTTTCGTTACCAGTGCCAGTCCTGCAATATTGGTTGCCTAACCTCCGCGGTCACGTCGCTTGTAAACATTTATGAAGGCTCTGTACATTTTCGAGTGAACTGCTTTTAAAATGTAATTTCTTTTTAAATTTAAAGTACCTTGGTTGCCACTAATTACAGACTTACAATGCACTTCTTCAGCTTAGGAATCCTTAACATGGCTTGTTGTTCTCGGACTAGGTCCTGTGGGGGTGACCCGTTATCATAACCTCTAGCCTCGCTCTGATATTGATTTCTGTTTTTGTTGTTGGTTGAAGTATTTTCAGTCACCACTGAAGATGAACAGTCAAAATTGGCGAAACCTTTGAAAGCATTGAATGCGACCAGTTAATAGAAGCCACTACGGAACGTCTCAGAAGATCTCCATCATGTAGAATAGTTTCATTTGTAGCGGTTTTAGAATCAACCACAAGAACCGAAACCAATATCAGGAATAACAAAAGGAGCTTAAAGATTTCTAAGGCTAAGGAAGTACATTGTAGGTCTGTAGCTTGCGACGAGCAGGTTCATAGACATAGACCACAACATAACAGCCCGACATACAGGGTGATTCACAACTTGTCCAAAAAAATTTGGGAATAGATGCGGCATGAAAAATGGAGTCAATATCGTAAAAAATTTTTTGTAAAATGCTTATAGTTTCCGAGAAAAGAAATATTTAAGTTGTAGTACATATTTTCAACCATTACATAGCTGGACAACTGTAGTCTCTAGCGTCATTTGTAATACGCGTGGAGAGCCACGTGGCCTCAGCGACTCCGAATACTGAAATCCGATATTATAGTCGTCGTTGCCATAGTGTTTACAATAGTTTTTTAGTATAGTTAATGTCAAAAGTGGCTTACGTGTATAGCAACTCGAAGTTGATAGATAGGCATCGTTTTAATTTATTGTGAAGCAAGAAAACATTTGTATTATGGTGAAGTACTTGTGTTATGGGAAACAACGCAGCATTTGTGTTAGTTCGTAGAAACGGAATAAGAAGGACCCAAATGTGTTTACACGTCGGCGGACAAAATTTTAAACAGTCGCACAGTGGCAAATATTGGAAAAAATTCTCGCCACTCGCCAATTTTCATCGTCTCGTCGTGATTTTTTTTTTTTAATAATCTCGTGGTAATGTGAATTTTCATATTTTGGTGAGGCTTTTTCGAAAAAACCTTTTTTTAATGCTTAGGGAGCGCCCCAACCTCAATGTCGAAGAAAATAAGAAATTTTTTTTTTAAATAGGTACTCGATGTTCAGTTGTAGAAAGCAGGCAGTAGGCTAGACTAAAAAAATGAGTATCAAATTGGTGTTTCTGTATCAATCGATATCTTTGTACATTTTAGATTGTCTTGTACTTTGTCTAGCAGTTTAGCAAAATGGTCAAATTTTTATGACCTTAATCAAAATTATGGAAGACAATAGGTACATATTTTTTTGATTAAAGTGTATTAGTATTTGTCCGAGTTTCAGTTTTTGATCCTCTCTTCTACAGAAAATGTCAAATAAAGGAAGTTTTATCGGTACAAATTGTTACTCTCAATTTTGTAAATAAAATAATTGCAAAATTAAATACTTAAACATATACACACACATGTATGAATATACACACACATGTATAAAAATACTTATGATAGTCATAGGCAACCGCCTTCAATAAATTACCATAAAACTTTGATTTCGTGTCATGTTAGTTAGCTAGAATACTATACAAAATAATACGACCTGCTAGAAACAAGAATAAGAGATACATTAGTTGTCTATAGAGTTGTTTTTTTCGGATACTCATATATTTGTTATCAAAGAGTATACCTTTATGATGTATGATATCATTTGATGAGAATTTAGAAAAGTAAAGTAAAAGTAAAAAAGCTAACAATAAAAATGAAAATGTACATTTACCTAACTAAAAAGTTTTACATGTAAAAGAAAACATAATTGCATCTGTAGTTACATAGTTAGTAATATGCAAGTTTTCTTTTAAGTAGTTCACATCTTGTTTTTTGAAATTATCAGGTAATTTCACAAATTATACAGCAATGTTCTCTTCATTCTCCATAGATTGCAGCCTTAACGGTGATATTAAGAATAACATGATCCAACTTAATGCAGCGTATTACTCCCAGCTCCAGAAAGATTTCAAGGTTAATGCTATGATTAATGCGTTTATTAAAGAACAGCAACCCATTTAAAAATCACATACGGAACAGAGCGTTTTATATTTTAATTCAATTCTTTATAAAATATATTAAGAATCTTAAACTGTTTACCTGGAAGATAATACCTAGCTCACTATTTTTTCAATATCAAAATGTCTACTATTTTGAAAAATCGTTCTGTCCTGTATCACCATTAGCACAAGAATAACCATAAAATAACTTCTATAAGTTTCATATCTGTACCTAATCTATACTTAATTACATTTTGAATATTATTGATTACAAATATGTATCCGAGGCAAATAAGCAGCATATTATACTAATCGTATTGTTTATGAAAGTAGATAAACAAAATACAGGGTGGCCAAATGAAAACGAAACAGAGACATTTTCAGGAACTGCGTCAAGATTGTAGAAAAACGCTCTGACCCGTCGATTTTAGATTAAAGGGGGACATTCTTTGCTGGTATTTTTGACTCCGTCACTTTCATCCCAGCAAGCAAGGGTAAGCATCACCCCAAAATATTGCTGTCTGTTGTAAAGAGAATTGTAAAAGCTTTCAAAAGAAATATTACTCAACCCCCAATGCCATTTAAATATTTTGGGGTGATGCTTACTCTTGCTTGGGGGTGAAAGTGGCGGAGTCAAAAATGCCAGCAAAGAATGTCCCCCTTTAATCTAAAATCGACGGGTCTGAGCGTTTTTCTACAATCTTGACGCTGTTCCTGAAAATGACTCTGTTTCGGATTCATTTGGCCACCATGTATATAAAATAGGTACCTATCACATTTGACTTTACATGATTTCAAAATATTAGTATTGATTGGTTTTGTTAAAAGAGAATAGGTAGTTTTCCAAACGTTAACTTAAAGTAACTTGCTTATTTTATGCTGGTCGTGTTTGTTTTCTTAAATGAGACATTTATTTTCATTAAATTTTGTACGTTTATGTTACTTTAATGGTAAGATAATTTAATTTTTTCTTAAAATTTTTATAAATTCTTATAAATTATAAAAATATACTCTATCCAAACTGTCAACAAACTAATGTTGCAAAGCCTTCAAATAAATCATCTTTCCTAGCTATTTGCCAATCACTCTGAATAAAGATTAATGGTATGGATCTTTTCATTAAGTAAAATTTGGTTTATAATTTTTTATGTACCTAATTATATTATAAAAATAACTCTAAATCCTGGCTTATTTAATTCTGTCGTTGACGCGACAGACAGTAGATAATTTAAATATTTCCACATACCTAAACCTATATTTCAAAATGTATAAATATTATATTGGTATAATGCAAATCTCTTTAATATTGAGTAAAGGTATGCTCTTTAAATTGTTATACTTACATTTTTTATAAGTACCTAGTTTGAAGGAAGCTAAACAAAGAAAATATTATGTATCTCTTGAATCAAGTGTACACTATTTGCATACATATGAGCACATTATAATCTAAACGATGTAAAATATATTCATTTAAAGACGTTTTTTTGACAGAAGATGGTTTACTTGATCTAAGATAATATTTTTTCTGTCGATTATTTATATTGTTCTTTTAATAGTAAGAACTGAAAAAGAATTAATATTATCAATAACTAATACTATTGATATTAAATTGAATACGGAATTGATTGATTGAAGAAAAAAACAGTTGCCACTGATTAATTATATGACAGTAATCCAATTTATTATTCAGAAATATTTCTTGTAATCCTCTAGCTTTAGATTCTGTGGTATGTTAAATTTTAACTTAATCCGTTAAAGAATAATGAGGGATATAATCTAAGAATCTAGCAGTTGTGAGAAAAACGTGAAAAGAAGGCTTCAAAAGTTAGATCACTAGTTAGAAATTTAACATTTTGCCTACTTACCTCCTATTAAACGTTTACAAGTGTTGAATCCATGAATCTGTCATAACAACGATTCTTTTCAATAGCGATATTTGTAACTTTAGAGGAAAAAATGGCTTAATTTAAAAAAGGTATAGGTACTATGCCTTTAGGGAATTTTGTGTATCTTAAAAACTAGGGAATTTGAAATTTAATAAGGGACAACTTTGTGAATACCTATAGAGAGCTGGTGACGATGACTGTGTAGTTATGCAATTGGAGCAGATGGTAAAGATTTTTTTCTGTTAGAATTATAGGAACGCACATGAGAAATGGTAAATAAACCATTGAAATTCATTGAAAACTTAATTGTTCAAATCACTGGATACTTTGATATAAATATATCTTGATCATCTTCGTTAGTTTGTCATAGGATTGTGGATTATCTTTTTTTTCTGTTGTAATTAGCTACAAAAATAAGTATTTCCTTCAAAGTTTAACAAAATGATATACTCTTTGGATTTGGATTTGGAAGTTTTGGCCTGTAATCTGTAATTCGAGTCCCTTAGTGCCCCTACCAGTTTTAAGGATAATCAATCGACTATTAAGGTTAATTTGGATATTCTAATTGATTTTTTATTTTCTTTTCATCTATTCTCCAAAAAAATCCTTCTGTTACTTATAAGTGCATCATGGTAATAACAATAAGAGAAAGGATATGTTTCATAGACAATAAAATGACTTTTCTGATTTCGGATTTTTGAATTCCTTCTGTCCTTGGGTCGAAAATATTCGTAACACATCAATATTTTCATTTGTCACTTTAACAATCAATGGATCTGTCATAATCAAAAAAATTTTGGGGATGCTAGTCGAAGACAAATTGCAGAGATTTTTCCAAAACAAATCGGAATCTATAATTAATTTATAGTGTTTACAACAAATTATACATACCTCAGCGAATTTCTTTTCCGACTCATCGAACAAGAGGTTGGAATCGCAGGGCGGCATACATCCCCCGTTGCTCTTCACGTAGTGGGGTCCGCAGTCGAATTTTTGCACGGCCGGGTCCACCGGGGCCCTCACGTCAACTTTGTCTTTGGGCCCCTCCATGCACATGTGTTCGTGGTTATTCTCCACAGGAAATCTGGAGCAGTTCAGGGCATCTGGCCAGGGAAACCCGAAACCTTGCAAAACGGGGTAGCACCGGGACCTGACACTCTCACAAAGTCCCCTGCATGGTCCTATGGGGTTGGCCACCTTCTCGGTACACATGGGCACATAAACAGAACACAAGAAAAGTTTCAGGTGCTGGCTGCAGCCGTACTGGATCAGAGGAGAAAAAGACTTCAAATTGTAATCGGCCTCCTGTTGGATATCGTTGCCCCCTAAATTGGGCATCCCCGTCATGTTATAACCCAAGCCTGTGCACATCTCAACCCTTATGGGCTCACAGGTGCGGAGCAGCGGTTCCGAGATCGAAACGCCCCAGAGAAAAGCGAACAGTAATAATAAAAACATTGTTGTGTCGATAACGCGCGCGAACAAACCACCTTCCTACACGGTCTCCGACGGAATAACTTTTTGAAGTTGATCGGGGATTCAAGTAGGTAGACGGCCGCAGTTTGGAATGTTGTTATGCCGAAAGCTCCCCGAAAGTTTCCGAGCCCGCGCGACTATTTAAATTAAGCTTTACAAGCTCCTCGATGGACCGGATTGTTCAAAAAACTAAACAAGCTATTTTAGGCAGGTTAGTTAGCCGCTTGGGCGTGCTTCGGGGTTGGGAGGAAGGCATTTGTCATCATCAATTAACAAAAAAATACGTTAACAGAAATATACATACTATCGTCAGGAATGGTCAGGATTGTCAGTGCCGGAAAGCAAACAATTGGTGTCATTTATCAGAGTGCCAGAAAGTACTTCCTATAGAAATATAAAGGAAGAAGACCTAAAATTGAAAATTTTAGAATTAGAAGATGGAATATTTGGCTGAATTTTACTTTGCAAGTCAAATCTACAAATTGAGTTTGAAACATTAAACATTTCTTTACCAGATCTGCAACATTTTTGTGAATACTATTTATAGCTTTTGTACTGATTATATTTCTTTAATTTGAAGCATATTTTCCAATTTTTTGCTAAACGTCAGTTATGATTTTGAAAACGGAAATAGAATAATTTTCGAAATTTAAACAAAGCGTTATAACTGTGTACTTTTTTTATTTGTCTGATTCCAATGTCGCAAAATAGTTTCGTAAAAATAACCCTTCAATCAAAATAAACAAGGAATTATCATGTTAAAGCTACTGTTAAGAACATCATTTCAAAGAAGACTGAGATGTTCATCTTCAGAGAGTTAGGAAAATTGCTTAAACACTAAAGACGACTATTTGAGACATTTAAAGAACTGTGGCTGCTTACATAGTTAAAAAAGGGAAAATGAATTTTAAAAAATCATTGTACTAGAAATTTAAAATATTCTATTGAATACATATTATTCATAATTATAACGTTTCAAATATGTAATAGTGAAACATTTATTTATATTTGAAAATGAACATTACAACACAACCATTTTATATTATTTTTAATTATAATATTATATTTTGTAGTGAGGGTTGCTTTAAAACGGTACAAATAAAGTATTTTTATTGAAAACTAAGCTTGTGCAAAAGACGTGTTGTCGGTTCGAGTGTTTGTCCCTCCTGGTGTGGAGTCACCAGCAGAAGTACCTGGTTCTTGGCACCAATCTTCCGGGGTCGTCTTCCGGGAACACTGGTGCGGGCGGCGCACAGTGGGAAATATTGGAAAAAATTCTCGCCACTCGCCAATTTTCATCGTCTCGTCGTGATTTTTTTTAATAATCTCGTTGTAATCTGAATTTTCATATTCCGGTGAGGTTTTTTCGAAAAACTCTTTTTTTTTAATGCTTAGGGAGCGCGCCTTATTATGACCCTTGAACCTAACTCCAAATATATCATCAAGGGTCATAATAATCAATTTTATTAATAACAGATACTTTTTAAACATTTTTTTCTACAACTGAACATCGAGTATTTAAAAAATTTTTCTTCGATATTGAGGTTGGGGCGCTCCCGAAGCATTAAAAAAGGGTTTTTCGAAAAAACCTCACCGAAATATGAAAATTCAGATTACCACGAGATTATTAAAAAAAAATCACAACGAGACGATGAAAATTGGCGAGTGGCGAGAATTTTTTCCAATATTTCCCACTGTGCGGCGTCTCGCTGGCGCTCTTGACGTTGTGCGGGTCACTTGCGAACATGTGTACCCACAGTAGTTTTACTCATAATTGTTTATTTTATTTCGAGAGCAAAATTTTTTTCAATTAGCGTTATTCAATGCTGCATTTTCGAAAAGACAAAAAGAAAATAGATATTTTTTATCAGGATCACTAGAAAACCAACCAAACTTTTAAAAACGAAATAAAAATCTTCTTTTATGAGAACCATTAGCACTTCAGGTAGGAAACTTTTTGTTGTCCACATATGTACTTTAATTTATTTTGTTGATTCATATAATATACATACCTATGGCGAAGTATTAGTAACACCTGCCCAATGACCAATTCGCGGTTTATTATAAATTGTAACAGTTACGAATTACAACATTTACAGCATGGTAAAATTGACTATTTTTTAATCTAAGCGGTAACATTTTTCACACATTCAATCTTAGCATGTTTATCGCTCTGTGGTATTCCAATAGCCCCGAGGATGACGATTTTTTAAAGAGCAAGTCAATAGTAATGACAGGTCGTTATAGGATTTGAATAGTTGCAAAAATCTGCCATGCACGAACTAGTATTGTTAAATGGGATAACCGATTTAGCTCGCTTATTGTTAAGAGAGGTGTTAAAGAAAAATGTTCGCCAACCGGTTCTATTTTCAGCACGTCTCTGGCGAGTCAGCCGGATATAACACATGCTCCAGAAGTGGTGTTTTTCAGACACCTTATTGGCTTATAAACATTACTAATTGTTTAGTTTAGGTACTAGTTAATAAAGCTACATTAAGATTAATTATTGTTTTGTAAGAATAAATATTTCACAGTCCTCCGTCATTAAATACTATAATTAATCGGCCCGCAGATACCCGTCACTGGTGTACAACTTTCGTGTTTGTTTTTTTTTTTGAACCGATTAACTTTTAAAGTGTTTTCAGGATTCGTTCCGCGTCTATTTATTATAATGTTAAATACCTGAGAGCAATCGTTATTTATTAGTTCAGATGATTGTTTTTTTTTGGTGCGGCAATTTGTAGACATTTTAATGACGGCGAAATATATAAAATAAAATGAAAAATAAAATAAATACTGAAATTTAAAATCAGAAAGAAACAACTGAAGCTTCTGTGGAAATTCAACATGTTATTAAAATAAATAATTGTACAGAGTGGTTCTGGATTAATTGGCCAAACCCAACTCACACAGACAGAGAAAAATACTTATATTAAAGTAATTATAACTTGTAGTTAGGATTCGTGTAGAGAATTAGTACAGTCATTGAAGCTGAAAATCAGCTGTAACCTCCTAATTCTTTGAAACTGCATGGATTTGCATGAAAATTTAGAATAAGGCTCATTTTAGGCTCAAGTTCAAAAGTGACATAAGCCCGATTGACGCTTTTTGTTTTTTAGGGGTAAAAACTACCCCTAAGTGAAAAAAATTGAAAAAATTTAGTTTTAAGCATTTTATTGATAAAAATCTTGTTCAAGCACAAATATTATAGAATAATTATAGAATATAGACTAAGAATAATGTTCCATGTTCTCGAACATGTTTTATGATATATTTGATCTTTTCGACCCTTTATTTAACCCTTAAAAACTATCCCTTTGCAAAAAATAATGATAAAAAATTACTTTTTTAAAGATTTGGAATGATTAAATCGTGCAATTATTTAAAATAAAAGTTACCTTATAGCTAATACAAGAATTTTTCCCTTTCAACCCCTAAAAACCACCCCTGTATTGACAAAAATGATAAAAACTTAATTTTTAAAAGCTTGGAATGCTTTAACGGTTCAATTACACTTCAACACTTTTCAACCCTTATAGGTGGTTTATAAGGGTGCTAAAAAATGATAAAAAAATACGTTTTAAATCTTGGAATGCTATAATTGTTCAATAATTTAAAATAAAAATTCCCTTATATTGTTTATGAAAGAATATTTTACTTTTGCCATTTTCAACTCTTATAAACTACCCTTTTACCAATATTAATGTAAAATATTTTTATTATAATCGATTTTTAAATATAATCAATCATAAAAAAATTGCTACGCTGCATATAAATAATCACACTAAATTTGTTTACTTATTTTATTTGTATAATATAATATATAATATATAAAAATGAGAAAGCCTATTTTATTTCGAAAAAATGCCATTGTTTTTTTTTACCGTAACTCGGTTAATTTTGAAGCTATAGTATCCTACAAAAAAGCATTTTAAAGATAATTTCAAGAGCTGTAAGATCGTTTGCATATAAAACCTTTTAAGTCCTTTATTTTTTAAAGGGAAAGGATCGAAGGGCTCGAAACAGGTCGTTTTTTCACTAAAATGGGTACTTCAAGCGGTGATATCTCCTTTATTTTTTATGCTATAGGAATAAATTTCTTTGTTTATTTATAAGCTACATTTTTGTTCATTGCACTTTTTTTAATAAAATGCGTAGTTTTTGAGTTATTCGCGAAAAAAACTTTGAAAAAGTGTTATTTTTTTCATTCAAAATTCCATGTTTTCAATCGTGAATAATTAAAAAACTATTGATTTCTCGAAAAAATTCTTAGAATATTTTTTGCTCAAAATATGAATCTCTATCGATTTCCAGCGTTATTTTTTCATTGACCTTTTCTCTAACTATCTGACAAATTTCAAGTCGATCGGTTCAGTTTCAAACAATTCGGAGGTGAAAAGCTTCATTGACTGTACTAACTAAGAGTGTAAATGCCTCAATAGACGAGAAAAATACGTAGGTAACTTGAAAAATGCTTTTAAGTCGCTATTAAATGCAGTACTTTCATAAATGTTTACAAGCCACGTGACCGCTGAGCTTAGGCAACCCAGCACTGCACGAATGGTACTGGTAACAAAAATTCCCTAGGTCTTGGCGTCACCGATATTGATGATTCGTTTACAATGAACAATGACAAACCATTACGTCTACGCACAAGATAATGCCATCGCTGATTGGTTGAATAGTATCTCGTGAAAAATTACATACACCAATGGCAGCCGATTAAACAGAATGTTGCGTTTTAATTTGATCTTGATTTTTTTGTTTTAATAATTTTTAATTTTACCGAAATTTAATTATGAAGGAAATAAAATTACTGTTCCAAACAAAATTACTGGTCCTGTGGCTTGTAACCATTTATGAAAGTTCTGTAGTGGCTATTATGGACTAAAATATGTCCCAATAAGATGAAAAATAGCAGTAATTGTGACTTAAAATAAAGTAAGAGATATTTTAAACAAAAAATATGTTACCAAAGCGTAGCAAAAATTATTTTCAAGTGGTAAAATTATCAGTTAT